AGCATGAAGGTACGGATTAGCAAGGAGTACCCCTGGGGTATCCGAAAGGTTGGCCACACAGTGGAAAATAAACAAGTCAACATGTTCTTCAGGGCTGATCAGTCGGGAACCTTAGCTTCTGCTTTAATTTGGGCAGTTACAGATCCAGAGAGCACCCTCACTGTAAACTCTGCAAACACAGTGAGCTTTGAACCTTTTCTGCCCAACCATTTTCAGAATCCCTTAGTCCCAAACGAAATGTTTTGGCTTCTCTTATATTGCTCTTTTCACGATTTCTCCGAATTACAAATGCTATAAATGTGTTGGTATGCTCTTGCGTCAGGCACTTATGTCCAAAAATGTACACAGTAACGAAAATGGCAAAGTTTCTTCAAAATTGTCAGAGTGAATTTTCATGGATTTGATCATTTTGGCTAGTTTTAGTCAATTTCGTCAAAGCGAAATCACCTTGGTGGATTTGAATGTTTTGACGAAATTTCGCCATTTTCGTTACTGGGTGTATTTCTGGACATATCCCACGTCAAGCCAAGAATTGGCCTGATATTTTGTCAGTCCCCTTTAAACAGGTCCATTACACCTCCTTCAAAATTAAACCTTCGGCTCAGGTAAGACTTCTCGAACTTTTAAATCCTAGTAGGACTTTGAAACTCTTCGACGGTTTTCCACTTTCCTTCGCTACTGCGACTCGCTCAGCTTGGTAAGCTGTAGAACTAAGACACCAGTCCATTCGAACCAGGATTCTAGTACTCACACTAGTTTATCAGTTTTAACTGTAAAGTGCTTTTACCCTTATTAAATAAAGTTATCTTATCTTATCTTATCTTACACAGCTCTGATATTCGCCGGCTGCACTGCTTGACGTATTTAACGTTTTCATTCAAGTACTCATTTTTAACTAAGAGCGAAACGTCAGAAGCGATTTCAGTCGTAAAGAGCAGCTAGGAACATCGTTAAAATATGTTTGTTCGTCGCGTATATGTCAGATACCAAAGACCGCAGACAACCTAAGTAAAAACTCAGCGTTCCTCTTACCTATGCAAGCGCATGTGTCCAATTGAGAAATGTCGGATAGTTCAAAATAACCTGATGAAGTCCACGCAAAACGAAGAATAGATGCAGCAACTCATTTGTAATGCTACTTCCTGGTTATAGAACTATCCTAGCATAACTTTGTCAAGCAGTATTTCTATGAAGAATATGTCAAATGAATATCATACTTACAAATCAGCTCGTATACATTCAAGAAAAATATTATAAGCGCATCATCTACCGAATGAAAGTCTTAAAGATTGATATGAAGTTTAGCTGAAATCATCACCCAGTTTGTTTCACGATTAACAACAACAATTCCTATAATGTCATGAAGTTATTTCTGCTTTGGGAAGTCTATATTGGTTCTTCCTCCTAAAGACTACTGATTGCTACATTTTGATCAGTCTTTAATATGTTTATACCGTATATATCGACGACAACGGTCATCGACGTAATGGCGACTCGACATCCCATTCATAACAACTATTACTCGGTTTCTCTTACCTTAAAAATCCTGAATGTCCACTCGCACATTGAAAATCATGGTGTGATGAAGAGATCAGTACGAAAATAGCAAGTTAGGTCAACGTTTAACAGATGTTCCCTTGGCAATAAGAACCCAAAGTAAAACCAGGAAGTTAGTTACCATTGGCTAAGTATACACTTGGCTAAGGGTCTCAATGGGGTGACTGTCAGTCTTCAAACGGCTTTAGATCTAACCGACAGCCGTCGAAAGTTTACCAGTGACCTAACGGGCCCGGAAAGCGGAGCAGGCATACGAGGAAGTCTTATATAATTTGAGGTTCTCAGATTTTCAGAATGTTTATTTGGGCATACACAGCTTTGGAAAACGTAATGTTTCTAAGGCTCTATTGATCCCGGAAATTCCTTTAAAATCAAAAATCGAACAATCCGGTCATCAAAGTTTAAAGCATCGTACGGGCTACAACAATTGTGAGGCAACTTTGTTTATGTAAGTAAGTTCATTGCTGTTACATTCATCATTAAGTTAAGTCAGAATTCCAGGCATATGAAGTATTTTAAAGAAATTAACAATAAACTATATAAACGATTGTTTAGTAAGTAAGCTTCGCTGTTTTAAACGGCTATAGACTCCAAGCACTTCTCACAACTACTTTCGGTTTTAAATATTGGGACCTACTTCTCTTGAGACAAAACATTGTATCCCATATCCGGGACTCTATTTTTGGAGCAAAATGAACAATTATTTACGTCAAAAACAGAGCCTTGAAGCATTCAAAGGTGCAATTCGTGGAATGAACACAACGGGATCGTTGGACGGGAGCTGCAATTGACAAACGTGCCAGTTCTGACCAAGACTTCTGATTTTATTCCCCTTAGAATTTTATTTTTTAAAAGGTTGCAATTAGCAATTAGGTTATAATTAGCATTGTAGATAATTTATTCTTTTATAGTGAATTGTAAATTAAATTGTATTCAATTTTCTAATTTTTAGCTTTTAATTGAGTGTCCCCAGTTAGCTCCTTGTTTAGAGCTAAATACTTAGTGACACTTAAATAAGGTTTATCATGTATGTATGTAATTTTAAGAAAGCTGAACCGGCTTTACTACGTCTCCGGATTCGAGTTCCTGTATTTATTCCCCAGGAAACTATCATGAAAACAATCATGATGAAAAAGGGCAATCTGATTGGCTGGCTATCTCTAACCATTGTTTTGAAAACCATTCCCTCTCAAGCAAATGATATTTTGTGCATGGCTCCCTAGTGAATAATGCGTGGATGTGAAACCACGTTTCGCAGATAAAGCTGTCACGAAAAAGCACGAACACTGGACATAACGTGCGAATGTAAGGATACAATTATCCCTACAAGTTTCATCAAAGCGGGTAATTCATATCGAATCTGCGTCTTGCTTAGCGGGACAAAGTACAGACTGCCATTTTCAGTGGAGCTGGAGGAGGGCGAAGAAAGTGTCAAAAAATGGTTGCATAGCTGCGTGAGAAAAAGACGGAAAATTCGAGAAGGAAACGCTTACCTCAATACGGCGGAAGTTCTGTCGCAAAACCGCAAAACCGCAAAGACACCTTCAAAACAAGATTGTTAATTATAAAATAATGATTCTTGGTCCACGTTCTATCTTTGAGCGCTTACAGGCCAAAGGCTAAGGGGATATTTTCAAAGTCCAACGTTCGATTGTGATGAAGGGCCTTCAGTCCTCAGCGATCACAATTTTCATTACTGCACGCGGCAGGCACATGTACTGTTTGGTTTTTCATGTCCCTGATGCCTTTTCACGATATTATATTGAGCTATCAAGAAAAAGTGACTCAAGGTGGTTTTCTCTTGAAGTACTTTTAAGACCACTTCTTGGGGTCACTGACACAATCTTTACTTTTATCTCGATGAATAAAAGTGAATTATTCACTTTGCCGCCTTGGGGATCGAAAATAATAATAGTCAACCAGCAGGATGAGAATTAAGAAGAACCAAGCGAGAACCTCAGCGAACTCAAAGAGGAACTATACGAAATATTGAGAAACATCTAAAGGGAAACAAAGCGAGTTTAGGCTTTTGGTTATAATTACAAGTATGTTTCGAGATCTCTGAGATCCAACAACCCTAGTGCCCTTTTGTTTAATACCTAATTTGGAATCAGTTAAAAAAATTACAACTTCGCAGCCAAAGGTAACCTTCTGGTAGCTATGAATAAAGGCTGATAGCTAGTTTTTAACTGGAGGAGAACCCATCTAAGTATTACATTATGAATACTAACAAAAGAATTCTTCTACAATTAGTAAATGTTAAATGTGAGGTGAGGCCAAGATGTTAACAGTTATCTAGTAACATAATCTCAACAACAAATGAAACGCACGAATGGTCTCCGTCAGAATAATAAATTTCTCGTCAAGACAAATTCCAATAAAAATATTTCTTTAATCGTTTGTAACAACCCAGGAATCAAAACTCAAATCTGAAATGATATTCTACAATAATATTAGTATTGACATTCACTCAGGCCTAACTCTCGACCGTGTATCATACGGACATCACTCCGACAATCAGGAACAAAGTAGATTTCATTTACTAGCTTCAAATAATTCCCCCCTTAGATAAGTAAATATAATCTACGTATGATGCACGATCCTTCGCAGTAGATAGCGCTATTTATGCAATAGCGAAAATCAGACCTGAAAAAAAATCAGGCCTGTACGGCATTCGAACCACTGACCTCTGCGATACTAGTGCAGCGCTCTACCAATTGAGCTAACAAGCCAACTGGGAGCAGGCCGTTAAGTTGATTCGTAATAAACCCGTGATGATAAATCAGATACAATGAATATATGAAGTTCATATATTTTGAACTGCGGTATTAAATACGTATGATGCACGATCCTTCGCAGTAGATAGCGCTATTTATGCAATAGCGAAAATCAGACCTGAAAAAAAATCAGGCCTGTACGGGATTCGAACCACTGACCTCTGCGATACTAGTGCAGCGCTCTACCAATTGAGCTAACAAGCCAACTGGGAGCAGGCCGTTAAGTTGATTCGTAATAAACCCGTGATGATAAATCAGATACAATGAATATATGAACTTCATATATTCATTGTATCTAAATATAATCTGTAGGTTAACTCATTTAATAAAAAAGAACAAGCAAATTCAAAAGTAGAGTTTTGTTTCAAAATAAAAGCCTCTGTTATCATTAAAATGACACAGAAAAAAAAATGGCAGAGAAGGAAGCGGTAAAGGGAAGGAGGTTACCGACTTAAGGCCAGGTCATGGTCTACTGGGAATGCTCCCTGTAATCATCCATGTACATCTGATTAGGATCATGTGATCGGGAGAAAACACAGCGCGAAGATGTGAGAAATTTTTGTCTTTTTCAGTTTTTAAAAATATGTATTCTTTTTTAATTTGACCAAAGCGTTTAAGGTTCTGAACTCTGATCACATAAGCGCACCTACTCACATCTGGAAAATACAACTAGAATTTTCAAATTTGACATATTCGTAGAAAAAAAGCAGCTGGTGTATCGAAGTCTTTCACTTAATGATACGATTGTTCCACAGGACATCTATGCCAGAAAAGATTGAATATTTAGTATACTATTTATTGCGTCTTCTCTTCCAGAAGTTGTTTCCTTTATACATGAGTTGACATAATCAGTTACAACTTTAAGTAAACAACCTAGTTAACCAGGTTCACTCATCCAAAGAGCTCAAAACTGTGACACTGAACTCTACCTTGCAAGAAAAATAGAGGCTGTAACATATGCATATTTTCACTAGCTAATTAACAATTCAATGCTGTAAAACTCGCGCTTTTTAGAGGCGCCGTATCTACAACCGCTGATTCCAATCATTGTTTAAAGCAGTACCTTATCTAGTTTCAGCCTACAGTTTCAAAACACTAAACAAAGACGACAATCACTGGAATCTTATAACAATGTTACTACTAATATCTATATTGTTATGTACCTTTTAGAATAACAACATCGTCATAAGGAAATTTCTTTGGAAATCACGATAATATATTTTTCAAGCGTTTGTATCCGGTAATTATGGTTAGTAAGCCCTGATTGTATTGCTTAGGGAATTTTCAGTTGTTTTCTAGCACCATCTGTAGCCCTCTGACTTTTAGAACTCTCCCTAAAACCCCTAAGTCAATTTACTATTTATTAGTATGAAACTATCGTTTCAACCATTGCTATTAATCAAATTCCAAGGAACGCTTTGACTAATATCATATTTTCCTTTATAAGTATACCATAAAGTTTTAGCTGGAACAAAGAATTCCTATAATGCTAGAAAAAAGGGTTAACACTGTTCGTGCCATGCAAAAAATAAAAATGATAAAAAAAAGTAATCATTTTGTTTTGTTTAGCAGCCTACATGATGATAAAAGCAACTGCACCAGCATATGACTTAATCATTACAGTTCAGTCGGTGTACTTGGAGCAGACATTGCGAACAAGGTATCAATTCGCACAATCAGATCCTCTAAGCTATCTCGTATCTGGGTTTCAACATTGCGGCAGTTGTTAAAGTGCTCTTGTAATACTCTGTCGAAGTACCTCTGAAGATGGACGGTCTTCTCGTCTTGCAAGCAGATAAGGGCATAGTGGTTCTTCACTTTTTCGCCTACTTTTCGCATTCCCTTCTCCATCCTCTTTTTATGGTGATCAATTTCTTTCAAGTGTGCACCGTGTCTGGCCAACCCCCTCTTCATCCTGTCAGTGCGATTACTCACTTCTTCAAAACGTGAATCTTGTTGAGCCACTTTCTCCTCCATCGACTCACAATGGTTACCCATCTCTTGCAAATGCGAGTCGTAGTGGGCCATTTCCTTCTTCAGCTTCTCTGTACGGTGAATAATTTCTTTCAACAGGAAATCGTCTTGAGCCACTCTCTTCTTTATCATCTCTCCAAGATTATTCATATCTTGCAGTTGCGAGTCGTGCCGGGCAACTTTTCTCTCATTCTTCTCTACCCGTTTACCCATTTCTTTGGACTGCAAATCTTGTAGAGCTATTTTCTTCTTCGTTATCTCCCCACAATTTTCCACCTCTTGCAATTTCGAGGAAATCTGGGTCATTTTCGCCTCTCTTTTCCGTGCACCATTTTCCATTTCTTCCAATCGTGAATTGTGTTGGGCCATCTTCCTCTTTGTAATTTCTCCATGATTTTTCCTTTCCTCCAAGAGCATCTCATGCCGAGCCATCTTCTTATCAATTTCCTCTTCGCGATTTTTAAATTCTTTCAGTTGTGAATCGTGTTGAGTCACCACCTTCTCCATATTCTTTGCACGATCATCCATTTCTTTCAAATTCAAATCGTACTGGGCTATCTTCTCTTTGAGATCATTTGTTTCCTTCAAATGCAAATCGTTCTGGGCCATCTTCTCTTTGAGATCATTTATTTCCTTCAAATACAAATCGTTCTGGGCCATCTTCTCCTCGAGATCAACCATTTCCTTCAAATGCAAATCGTACCGGGCCATCTTCTCTTTGAGATCATCCATTTCCTTCCAATGCAATTCGTACTGGACCATCTTCTCTTTGAGATCATTCATTTCCTTCCAATGCAAATCGTACTGGACCATCTTCTCTTTGAGATAATTCATTTCCTTATAATGCAAATCGTACTGGACCATCTTCTCTTTGAGATTATTCATTTCCTTTAAATGCAAATCGTACTGGACCATCTTCTCTTTGAGATAATTTATTTCCTTCAAATGCAAATCGTTCTGGGCCATCTTCTCTTTGAGATCATCCATTCTCTTCAAATGCAAACCGTACTGGGTCATCTTCTCTTTTAGATCATTTATTTCCTTTAAATGTGAGTCGTGTTGGACTGTTTCTTGGGTCATTTTCTCCCCACTGTAACGCTTTTCTTTTGAATGGACTTGCGTAATCTCCAGGGCAGCTACCCTTCTATCGAGCTCCTGTATGTACAGAAGAGTGGCACAAGAGGCGTCGGCGACCGGGCCATCGCTTGAATTGGAGACTATTGAATCATAGGGAGGGCGTCTGATCTGGGCGTTCTTGTTTTTTACTTGCTCCTTTCTTTAACAGAGACAAAATGGTGAACAAAGCCAGTTTCCACAACCAGCGAAAGGTACTCTGAACACGGACATGCCATGATTCGCTTTGAAAGCCCTGTGTGAGTAACAAAATTACCAGATCTTACTTTTTCACATTCTCAAACAGCTTGATTGAAAAAAAGGATCCAATTATCGTGCTTACTACTTAGACAAATATCTTACTTTTCAGGATGCAAACTTCTTACTTGTTTTTTGTTTGTTTGTTTGTTTGTTGTTTTTTTTCCATTTCTTCGGTGCCGACGTAAGTGTACAAATCAGAATTCTAAACCCTTCGGAAAGTATAACTGAAACAAAAACGTGGTATAAAAATATTTGAAAAACTTAATGAAAACAACGAAAACAAATTTTGAGCAATGTCGGCCATCGGCTTCTTTTCTTAATGAACCTATGCAGTAACGAATCACAGCTCATTGTGCAAAGACAACAGACAGACAGCCTTATCATAACATCGGAACAAGGAACATACGTACCAGGAAAACTGAAGGATTTCGATAACACTGATAAGAATGTTTACCTCATTAAGTTGATCACAATCCCTTTCAACGTCCCCACACTCCTAAGAGAAGGGAGTAACATTTTATCCGTAAGCATGTCGCTGTTAAAAAATTACTACAAAACTTGACATGGGTTAGAATACAGCATAACAAAGCCTAGAACTTTAAAGTCTCTAACCACGATGGTAACTTTTGAAGTACAGGATAAATACCACGAATCCAAAACTTGCCAATAAAAGCAGTTTGGTCGCAAGCTTTGTCATGGTGCTCTGTTAAAAACCAACGTTACAAAAAAAAAGTATTAAACATACCTCATATTCGCATAACAATGAAATAAGACATGGTTTAAAGAAGTGTTTTATCTGATGCAAGTGACTGTAATATAAAGTACATAGCCTTAAAACAAGAACCTACGCTAAAGCTCCAAAAAATAAAAGTTACGATGATCAGTCCTATCTTCTTTATATTAGCCGAGCAACACTGTTTCTGCCAAGTATTTTACCTCGCTGCATGGTTCAGGTGAATTGTCGAGTTGAGTACAGTCCATGTTATCCTCAAGAGCTTCGTCCGTCAATTCATATCCCTCTTCCTTTAGTGGACCAATTTTCAATTTTTTAGGAAGAGACTTTTCTAGGTCCTTAAATCAAGGAAAATAACAATTAAAGTAACAGACCTGTTTGCACAATGGTTGCAACAATGTTTTGCATAAACCGTAAAAAAGTGTCTTTTTTTAAACGATGGTTGTTTAGTCTCGCTTGTCTGGCAGATCCAGGTCAATCGGATCGGTCGCTCAAAAATTAATCCGTTTGTGGAGCATCTTGCTGTAGTTACAGCCCTTAATAATTAGGGTTATTATGGAAAGCATTTCGTTGAGATTTAGAAAAAAAATAATGATATTATTCACCAGCCTAAATCGGTCCGTATTGGGAAAAACTGTGCCTTCTGTCTTGAGTACCCCTCGAGGCCGTAGACCTCGGGCACAGTTTTTCCAATACGGACAGACCTAGGCTGGTGAATAACATATAACTACGTACAATGTAATGGGTTTTTCTGTGCCAAATTATTTGTAAGACTTAAGAACTATGACTAGTATTGGAAATTTTAACTAGGGTGGGACAGTTTGATCTGTTGGGGCTTACGAGTGAAGCATGTGGAGCGGACTGCCTTTTACGCACATCGTAGCTTTAAAATGTAATATTTGCGATTTTAGTTTCCTCTATCGCTCAGTCTGTATTTTCACTCAAACTTCACTTCATTTTACTTCATCTAGTGTCCCCAATTTGTAGTCACCTTAAGTATTCATAACACAAAGTACTCATAACAAAATTCTGAATTATCTTATCTTATTTCCACGGTTGGCAGAGTACACAAAAGAATCTCATTTCGCTTTCAATCGCAATTACCGTTTAGATGTGCTGCTGTAAGATGTCGTTTTGTAAGGCACCAAATAAAAGTGACCTCAGCGCTTCTCGCGCGATTTTTTTACGCATATGCAATTGTCTTTTGTTAGCAAAGACGGCGGTGGTAGGCACCATGATAGAGCTGAACAGCTCATTAAGGTCATCCATTCCCAATTAGGGCTCCTAATTGTAGAGCCCTCTCCAAAATAGCGACGGATATTAAGCAAGTTATCTTTAGGCAAAGAATGGTCGTAGGGTTAGTCGTTGTCGATGCACTTCCTGTTAGCAACGAGAAAAACACGAACGCTTGCATAACTGGAGATAAAGCATATCCCCAACTGTAGAGATGCCTGTCTTTCTCAGATGCCATTTTGTTCAAGGGTCCATTACGAGACATATTAGAGAACAGTTCAATTAAGATCGAAATTATAGCTTCAGTTATATTAAACCAATACTACATTTGAAAAATCATTTTTTCCACGAT